CTGTGAGAATTAGCTGTGACTGCAGTGGGAGAATTGTTCTGAAGACACCCTTATGGGGCAAGACTTGCTTCCGTGGGAATTTGGTGCTCACTGGAGACTTCCCCCTGAGTGTTTCCCTTATGGGTCTGAGGAGTTGTAATCTGGATGGTCCCACTCTGACCACTGGGTACACTGGCTCTTGGGTTCAAGGAGGTGCTAATTTAGCCTCTGCCTGAGGCTACCCAGCAGGAGCTACAAAGAGATCTGCAGATTCCCCTTCCTTTTTTGGGGTTTGGGGGTGCCTAGAGGAGGCCCAGCTGTGAAGCAATGCAAGCTGCTGTGGGGCCTTGGGCCTTCTTTTGGAAGTTTTGGGTCTGTTTGGCCCAGCTGCAGTTTGTTAGGTACTTTTCAGATTGCAAAGGGCCAGGGCATTCATATGCAAAAGCCTCTGCTACAGCCTGGGTGGGGTGGGGTCTCAGGGAATCAACAGGGCCGAGCAAACAGCTATGGCTGATCCTCAGCCCTGCCCTAAGGGGCCCCATGCCTCAGTGTTCCGGTAATCGCTGCAAGCACCTCTGAGAGAAAGCCACCCTCGAGTTCCGAGTTCTGCCCGCTGCCAGACAGTCCAGTTTCTCCCTGTATGAGTCCTGGGTCCCCAAAGACTCACCCGGAACTGGAGTGCAGAGCAGTCAGCGGCTTGTGACTCCCTCTGATTCAAAAAGACAGCTGCGTCCTCAGTTGCCAGCCCTTGCCGCATGTGCCTCCGTTCCTCTGCACTTCTGTACCTCCTCTGCGTCTTAGTGTGCTTTTCTCTTCTAGTTGTAGAATTTCCACTCAGCCGGCCTTCCTGTGGTTCTGGGTGATGTCCATTTTGTCTTTTAGTTGCATTTTTGAATTTGTTGTGGGAGGCAGCAATTTCCAGTGTTTACCAATGCCGCCATCTTGGTTTCCTCTGAAATACATATTTTTAAAAAACAATGTGATAGAGGGTACAGGTGAGCATCTGGCGGAAGGGGACTGAGGCAGGGGCTGTGGGAAGGACTCAGGCTTCACTCTCCCCACACCTCATGTGCTCACCCACCTGGAAGGTCTCGGGCTCGGGACTTTTAGGGAGCCGTCATCAC